CAAGAAAAAATGAGGGGGTCCTACATCAGATCCAAAATGCAATGGATAAAAGAAGGAGAAAAACCTTCAAACTTTTTTTCTGAATTTAGAAACTAAACATTTTATAAATAAAACTATTCCAAAATTAGTCAATGAAAAAGGGGACACTGTCAGTGAGCAAGATAAAATATTAAAGGAGGCAAACAATTATTACAAAAGGCTATATACCAAAACAGAAAGCTTGAATAATGTTAACCTTAATTGTGAAATTGTGAAATTCCATATACTGATATTAAAAAAACTAAATAATACCACAAAAGAATCTTTGGAGGGTAAAATTACTTATAGTGAATTAACAAAAGCTTTGCGAAGAATGAAAAATGAAAAAAGCCCTGGGTCAGATGGTTTCACAAATGAATTTTTCAAATTTTTCTGGATAGATGTAGGAACATTTGTATTTCGCTCTATAATAAATGGTTACGAAAAGGGGGATTATCTTTTACTCAAAGACAAGGTATTATTACCTGTATACCAAAGAGAGATAAACCAAGACAGTTCATGAAAAACTGGCAACCAATAAGTTTACTAAATACCACATATAAATTAGCGTCAAGCTGCATAGCAGAGCGTATAAAATTAGTTCTACCTCAAATTATAAATAGTGATCAGACCAGTTTCATTCCTGGTAGGTTTATAGGGGAAAATACTCGTCTTATTTATGATATTTTATTTCATACAGAACTAAATAATTTACCAGGACTGCTCCTTCTCATAGATTTTGAAAAAGCTTTTGACTCTGTATCATGCAATTTCATTGAAAACATTTTAGACTTTTTCAATTTTGGCCCCTCTATAAAACACTGGATAAGGACCTTTTACAAAAATATAAGTTCTGCAGTTTCTCAAAATTGTTTTTTATCTGAATTCTTTGAAATTCAAAGAGGTTGTCAACAAGGGGATCCTTTATCACCTTATATCTTTCTTTTATGTGCAGAAATACTTGGAATATTAATTAGAAAAAATAAAGAAATAAAGGGAATTAAAATAGATGATACCGAATATTTGATCTCTCAATATGCAGATGACACGTCAATTATTCTTGACGGGACACCAGAATCTCTGGATGCATCTCTCCGCCTATTACATAAATATGCTGAAATGTCTGGTCTCCATATGAACTTGGACAAGACAAAGGTGGTGTGGATAGGGAAGAAAAAATATAGTCAAGACACCATGTGTGTAAAGTGGGGATTGGAATGGGGTTCCAGTAGGTTCACACTACTAGGAATAAACTTTTCGGTCAATTTGCAAGAAATGGAATCTTTGAACTATTATCCTAAAATAAAAGAAATTGAAAATATAATTAATATTTGGTCTAAACAAACACTTACTCCAGTGAGAAAAATAACAATTATCAAGACACTAATTATTTCAAAATTAAATCATCTGTTTTTAACATTACAAGCACCATGCTATACTACTCTTAAACAACTTATTCGTACAATATATTCATTTATTTGGGAACACAAGCCTGACAAGATTAAAAGAGAAATATTATATCTGGATCATAAATTTGGGGGCTGAAAATGCTAGATATTGAAGAATATATAAAAGGGTTAAAACTAACGTGGGTCCGACGGTTGTTAAAAAGCAATACAAAACTCAAAAAGCTAGTAGAAAGCACAGAAAATATTAATATTAAAAACCTAGTATTTCTAGGTCCATCAAACAGATGTAAGAACCCCTTTTGGAAAGAGGTTTTTAAAGCATGGACAGAAATGCAAAATAAACTTATACCAAAAAATGAAGAAGAATTTTTAGCAGACTCACTTTGGAATAATGAAAATATTAAAATAGGAAACACATCTGTTTTCTATAAAGACTGGGCTGATAATGGTATTTTGTTGATAAATGATCTGGTAGATAATAAGGGTAAATTATTGACTTTTGAGCAATGCAAAAATATTTATGAAATTAAATCTAACTTTCTAGTTTATAATGGGGTTATATCAGCAATAAAATCATATCAAAATTCTCTCAGACATAATATCTATATAGACAGTCTTCATAAAATTCATGGACCAATTCTTCCGTATAATATAAGAACAGTTTTTTTTATCAAATAAAGGGTCAAAAGATATGTATAATGTTTTATTAGAAAAAAATAGTACAAGGCTTAACTGTGAAGATAAATGGTCTCTAAGATTAAACAAAAAATTGGATTGGAAAAAAGTGCATAATATGTCTTTTTACACCACAAAAAGCTCTAGACTTCATTGGTTCCAATACAGAATAGTACACAGAATCATAGGCACAAATGAATTTTCATTCAAAATTAAGATAAAACAAACAGATAAATGTACTTTCTGTAATGAAGCTATTGAAGATATTGAGCACATATTTTGGACATGCTATAAAATTTCAGATTTATGGATTAAACTTAGTGATTGGATTTATAACCAAACACAAATAATAATTCCATTTAATATAGATATTATTTTATTTGGAAATTTAGGAAACAAAGGAAATAATAAGACAAAAAACTTAATAATACTCCTTACAAAATTCTATATTTATAGAACAAAACTCTGTGAAAATCAGGTAAATTTCACAGGACTAAAAAATTACCTCAAAGAATCTCTTACACTAGAAAGGAATATATTTTTTAAAAGTAACCCTTTTCAGATGGCCAATATCTGCTGGGACCCCTGGCTTCCAGTACTTGAAGAATAATTTTTTATTATAAAATAATAGGTAACAGTCTCCGGGACAAGTTTGCAATTCCGCTGAGTGCAAAAGTTTTCACCTTGATTTTTGGAGTTAGGTCAAAATGAAGTTGATAACTTGGTTGGTATTGGTTTCCTGATATGTGTCCTGAAAAATTTTGGCTCTAGCACCACTGTTGAAAAAGTTATGTCCCTTTTTTCAACAATTTCCTCAGAGGAAAAGTAGTTTTCCTCAAGGGAAATCAAATTTCCCTAATGGAAAAAGATTTTTCCTCAAGGGAAAAAGATTTCCCTTAGGAAATTTGCAGCTTAAATATTTCCTTTGAGGAAATTTTATTTCCTTTAAGGAAATTCTATTTCCTCTGAGGAAATTTGCGGCTTCAAATTTTCCTTTGAGGAAATTTGCGGCTTCATATTTTTCTTTGAGGAAATACTTTTTCCTGTGAGGAAATTTTGTCAACTACAATTTCCTTTGAGTAAATTTTTGACCAACATTTTTCCTTGAGGGAAAATTAAAGACAGCTAATTTCCTCTAAGGAAAATATTGATCTCCAAATTTCCTCTATGGAAATTTCTGTACATCAAATTTCCCCTAAGGAAATGTTTTCCCCTATTTTTCCTCTACGGAAATTTCATAACAGTACAAACAGTACATGCAGTATGAATATAACTTTTCCTAGACTGAATAGTTGATACAAAAGATAATTAAAACTTTAATAAAATTTTCACTGATGAGTAACATGACATACAATAACAATAGGTTGGCTGTTAAAGACAATACAATAATAAGCAAAGCGCTATGAATATCATACCAATTGTGATGTTATTAATATTGTGCTCATATTTGCAGATTAAATAAAATAAACACTTTTCATGTTAATTTAACTTTTCTTCTGTTTCAGCTGCTGTGTACAATTATTCCATACCCTACATAACAGTTCAGTGCATAATTAATTCGATCCACCTTGACATCTTCCTTTAATTGGTACAGAATACATTTTTGCAATTTGTTCTTCAAACATCTTCCTCTGTATATATTTGATATGACGGAGCGATGTACATGAATGGATAAAGCAGGTGTTAACTTCGCCAACAAAATACTATTTGTTTCTACATTTCTCCCTAATCCTTCAGTGAATATGTAGGTTGTTGCATTTACACAATTGTGTTCTTGTACATCTATGATAGTACTCCATTTTGTTTATAGCCATATTGTTGAAATTTCCTATTTCTTTTTCCAGGAAAGCACACATTTCATTTCACATTAATCCGATTAGCACACAATGTAGAAAAATATTCACTTTAAGTTTCCACTTCAGTATTGACCTGTTGATGATCATGAAAACCAAGATGTCTGACCTATAAATACACAAAATAAAAAAAATGTTATCAATGGAGAAAAAAACAGCAATATAAAATAAGCTTATTTTATCAAGTTTAATATGAACATTTTGAGAAACTTTCATTTGATATTCTTACTTATGAGTTCCCTTATTTCAGTGCTTTGTGTCCACGATTTAATATTAGTCGTTTTAGTGCCTTGCAGTGATATTTTTAGTTGAACCACTTGAAACAGTTTTTACAGTTTGTTCGTATGTTGTGCTATTAGAACCACTGTCCTAGATTATGGTAAGGTTGAGTGCTCACAGACATGATTTTTTTTTATTAATTGTTATTGGCTTTGAACTAATTTGGATTGTTTAAATCTTTTCATGTTGGGGCCTTAATTGGCTGACTTATAAGGTATGGGTTTTCTCATTATCGAAGGCCGTCATTGGCCTTTAATTGCTTGCATCCACTTCATTGAAATTTGGTGGATAGTTCACTCATTTACCATACCACATCTTCTTATTTTTATAATAGTCATCATTCAAGGGCAATCACTTTTATTATATAGAAGTGGCCCTACCATTTAGGCCTTGTTGTCTTCTATTTATCTTGTTTTGCCGATCATTTCTGCTGTAACTGTTTATATTTCTCTTTATCTTCTATATTTCTTGCCCTAAACATAAAAAGGGTAAAAACTATCATTTAATGACAATAACTTTTAATATTATTAATTCGTATATTTTAACTAATTTGATTCGTTCAGGGATAGTCACATGTTAAACTATATTTTCGAAGGTAGAGAGAAAACGGCGGATAGCAAAAAGCATATTGCACAGCAAAAAGCATATTGCACGGTTATTTTTAAAAAATCTAAAAATAGAAATCTAAAAACCAATATACTTAATGACGCATTCTCAACAACCAATCAAATGCTTTTCTGCATTACTTCCGGTGCAATCACAACAAGCAGACGTTAGCTAAATGGCCACAAAAGGAAGATTTGCATCCCTCGAGGACGAAGATAGTGAAAATCTATTAGAAAATGTGGATGCAAAAAATACTAAGAGGCAAACCAACACAGCTCTTAATAGTTTTCGTGAATATTTAACGGAGAAGAGCCTACCACTCGACTTTGAATCTTATGAAGATGAACAATTGGACGACGTTTTGGCTAAATTTTATATGGAAATGCGCAACAAAAATGGTGATATGTACAAAAAGTCAACCATGCAGTCGTACCGTTAAGGTTTGCAACGTCACTTGTCCAAAAAAAGGGATATTGACATACTCAAAGGTGACAATTTCAAGAAGTCAAAAAAAGCATATCAATGTATGACAAAGGAGCTAAAAAGACTTGGTCTGGCAGCTGTGGAGCACTATCCAGCAATTGCTGATGTTGATATGGAAAAGATGTACATGTTTTTCTGTACAGATTTGGAAAGTCCAAAAATGCTCCAGTACAAGGTATATATAACAAAAAATCAAATGAAGATATCTTACATTTTCATTCAAATTTTGTACAATATGTGCTAGAAAAGTATGTCTTTATGAACAGGTGAATTTTATTAAACTTAAAATTAATCAAATGGACCGGTTAAACTTAAAATTGATCAAATGGACCGGTAACCAGTAATTTTCTTGCGACATGTTTTATATAACAATTTGAAAATTACAATTTAATATTATATCACATGTATTTTATTGATATTGATATACATACAATATCCTTTAATTTCAGGTATTTGTGGACATAATGATGTATTTCGGTCGTAGAGGCAGGGAGAACCTGGCTACCTTGACAAGACAGGACTTTGCAGTACAACCAGATCCAGAGGGTACACTTTATGTTTATAAAACCCATGATGAACTAACAAAAAATCATCAGACAGATAGTGAAAAGTCTTCTGATGGTAGGATGTATGAAATCAAAGGTAATTAAATTTTTATGTCTAAATTAATATGAGGCAGGCATTACCTGATGAGCTCCAAATGTTTTTTAAGATTTGTATATCAGGAAATTATTCAAGATAAAGGCTGTCAATGGATCCAGGGGGAAACAATATCTTCGGGCGAACTTACCTATCTTCTTGTCTTAGCGCAAGGTGGAAAGCTTGGTTTCTACTTCCAATTGAATAAAAAAAAATCTTGTAAGTGCAGGTACACAACTCGCCATTTCTACAATATTTATAAAATTATGAAGAAACTATATTAAAATACCTAAAAAAGACATTTAAAATGATATTTGCAAACGAGAAGCTGAAGATACCAAAGGCACATTCAATCTCGTTATTCTACGAAAACTAAAAACAGCCAAAATAAAAGATAAAAAAAAAACCAATAGCAACTTATGATAAAACAAAACCATGTCTTTACTCTCCAATCCTATATCATTTTTTACTTAGTTTTCTGTTTCATTGCTATATCAATATCAATATATTATTTGCATATCTCATTTTTGTTTCTCAATATAGACAATATTTTTTTATTTTAATTTATTTGTCTTTTCAGGTAGTGACCGATGTCCAGTACGGTCGTTTGTAAAATATATCCGCCGTCTCAATCCACAGTGTAATAAACTTTTTCAACAGCCAAAATCAGCAGCTAAAGAGGGGATATATTATGACAACATTCCCCTTGGACATAACAATCTCGGCAACTACATGAATGAGATAAGCAAGGCAGCCAATCTTTCAAGAGAGTATACCAACCATTCTTGTAGGGCTACAACTGTCCACATTTTGGATGAAGCACAAATTCCCAGTAGACACATTATGAGTGTCACTGGTCATAAATCAGAGGCATCCTTAAAGACATATAGCGGTAAAACGTGTGAAAAAACAAAAAAAGTGATGTCAGAGACATTAAGTGAAAAAACACTATGCAAAACATCTAAAGTTACAAAACCGGCCACTTTGTCGTCAAATATTGATTATTTGTGTCTTTCACAAACAAGTGTGACCGTTGAAACTGAAGCAATATCAACTGCCTCATTTGGCTCTTTCAATTTACAGCCATTGTCCGACTCCCAAACTCAAAACCTCATTAATGATATCATTCCTGAATTAGCAGCTGATCATCATGATGATGGTATGGATGATTTATTGAAATCCCTTGAAGTTCCAAGATGTATAAAAACAGTCAAACTCAGTTGATACTGCTAGTATTAACCAGAAAGCTATGCCAGTTCCAGTATTCAATAACTGTTCAAATATTACTGTCAATTACAACTTTTTTCAGAAGAATTAATGAAAAACAAAGTGTTTTAGAAATTTATTCAATGTTTAATTGTTAAATTGTTTAGTCTACCAAGAACATTAGTTAAATGTTTCAATTGTTTTTGAATTGTTGGCATATTATTTATGAAATACCTTTTAAATTTCATGATATTGTTAATGTTGGAATAAATAATCATCATATATTTCGTTCAACATGGCCAAATCAATTATTACATCTTATAAGAATTTTTAAATATTTAGAAAAGAACAGATTTGGTGAACAAGTCAAAGAAACAATTAATATACTACCGTCAAGATAAAATCATAAAAAATACAGATTCTTATGCACTGACAATATTTGTGAATTAATAATATAACAATTGTAGCCTTTGTATGAGGTCGATACAGGATATATCGACCTAAAGAAGTATATCGACTTCGGACTTCGTCCTCAGTCGATATACTTCTTTCAGGTCGATATATCCTTGCATCGACCTCATACAAAGGCTATAATTGTATATTATACATCAGTATGTGTTTTTCTATATACAATGATATAAAAAAGAATGACATATTTGTGCTATTTCATTTCACAGACTATTTGCTAGTCAATAGTTTCAAAGACTATTACCCCGGTCAATAGTTTAACAAACAAACTTTCCCGTATTTTTTCATCGTGTTCATACTAATTTTTCATTGGACAGCAATGAGGTGATTAACTATTCTTCTATGATTTGTGCGCTTGACAACGTTAAACTCTGAAATATTGTTAACGGTATAATCTGTATATGTTTGTCGTCATAATTTCAAATTAATATATTACTTACAGAAACAATTAAAAATAAAGAAAAAGAAAATACATGTGACATATTTTAAGAACTAAAACAAAAGTAGTGGTATGGGTCTGTCGTCACGACGTCTTCATAATCTGGGATTGCTTTGGTGTACGGTAGCTAGCTTTTATTATATGCACAGGAATTTTTACACAAGGATTCCTGGTCTTGATTACAGTAATCAAAATATTGACAAATACCACACAGGCAAAAACAACCCTGATAGTTCATCTTGTGCATGTTTACGTGACCATTTTTTCCTAGTGGTGCATGCAGATCGACTTTTTAAAAATTTGTTTTGTTCGGTATAATAATCACTTAATGGCTTGTTATGACGGTTATGAAATTTTGCCAAAGAAATATGTAACTAATACCTTTTTGTACAAAATTGAATTAAAAAAAACCAAGTTATGTACTTTATGTAAACTTGGCGAAGAAACTATTGAACACCTGTTTTTTCAATGCCCAATAACTTTTCAATTGTGACAGTCTTTTTCAAATGTTGTAAAACTTTTTTTTGTTAATTTGTTCAATACATAGAGAATGTGTTTCTTGGTTGCAAACATGAAAGTTTATTACTGTATCTGTTAGTCATAATTACAAAGAATTATAGATATCTAAATATAAATCTAAACTTTGTGTACCTGAATTACTTTCACTTACATTTCTTTACCTTAACCACATCACCATTAATATGTATGCTTGATGTTTTGTTTGTAACTATATTTATGTTCCTCTTAGTTATTGCTTGAACGAAAATAACTGAAAAAAAATCCTTTGCGAGCTGTTATGAATGCTGTAAGTAAGACATACTTTTTTGTTTTTTTGTTTTTGCTTTTTCCAAAATTCCAAATTTCTGTGATTTTTATTTATTTTTTTTTTAATTTTCTATTCTTTTTCAAATATATGGATCATTCTATATTGATAATGTATTATTTGGATATATTATAATTAATAAATGTATATATTACAGATAAAATAAACTAATAAGTACTAACCAAATTGATTATATACTACTAATGGTTAACGAGGCCGGGATAAGGTACCGGTATTTGATGTATCCACTAACAAATGTCAAAATTATCAATAAAGTATGATTTAGTATGAAAAAAAAAACAAATAAATAAATCGACCCGATCGTATATAATATTACTCGAAAAAAACCTGATCTATACTTGAAAATAGTGGACCGATTCACTCGATCTCAACCTGACACTTTACCTACCGGGATTTCAACACGTGGTATGTTAATTACAGAGAGAGAGTACAAGTTACGTCCTGAACAATCCACTTGATTATAATTAAAACTATTATGTTATATGTTACAATATATGTTAAGTAAACATCACAATTATTAGCAACGCTTATAAACGGCAGACCCAATTCATTCGTTCTGTTGGTTGATACGGTACGGTTGAGCGTTTGATTTTGTAAGGTTTTATGGACTTTCTCCTTTTTAGCTCACCTGGCCCAATGGGCAAAGTGAACTTTTCTCATCACTTGTCGTCCGTCGTCCGTCGTCGTCGTCCGTCGTCCTTCGTCATCGTCCTTCGTCCGTAACTTTTAAAAAAAATCGTATACTCTAGATCTGAATCTACTAGGCCAAATTTAACCAAACTTGGCCATAATCATCAGTAATGTATTTAGTTTTAAAAAGTGTCCGATGACCCCGCCTGCACACCAACATGGCTGACATGGCTAAAAATAGAACATAGGGGGAAAATGCAGTTTTTGGCTTATATCTCTGAAACTAAAGCATGGGTAAAAATGATCATCAGGTTAAGATCTATCTGCCTTGAAATTTTCAGACGAATCAGACAACCCGTTGTTGGGATGCTGCCCCTGAAATGGTAATTTTAAGGAAATTTTGCAATTTTTGGTTATTATCTTTAATATTATTATAGATACACTGTAAACACCAGAAATGTTCAGCAAAGTAAGATGTACAAATAAGTCAACATGACCAAAATTGTCAATTGACCCCTTAAGGAGTTATTGGCCTTTAAAGTCAATATTTAACAATTTTCGTAATTTTTTGTAATCTTTTACAAAAATCTTCTCTGTAACTACTAAGACAAATTTAACTAAACTTGGCCACAATCATCATAAGGGTATATAGTTTTAAAATTATATCCGATGACTCTGCCTGCCAACCAACATGGCTGACATGGCTAAAAATAGGACATAGGGGGGGGGGGGGGGGGAATGCAGTTTTTGGCGTATATCTCTGAAACTGAAGCATTTAGAGCAAATCTGACAGGAAAAAAGATGCTCATCAGGTTTAAATCTATCTGCCCTGGAATTTTCAGACGAATCAGACAATCCGTTGTTTGGTTTCCTCCCCTGAATAGGTAATTTTATGGAAATTCTGCAGTTTTTGGTTATTATCTTTAATATCATTATAGATAAACACCAATAATGTTCAGCAAAATAAAATTTACATATAATGACCAAAATTGTCAATTGACCCCTTAAGGAGTTATTGGCCTTTAAAGTCAATTTTTAACATTTTTCGTAAATTTTTGTAATCTTTTACAAAAATCTTCTCTGAACCTACTGAGACAAATTTTACCAAACTTGGCCACAATCATCATAAGGGTGTGTAGTTTAAAAATTGCGTCCGATGACTCTGCATGTCAACCAACATGGCCGACATGGCTAAAAATATGACATAGGGCGGGAACTCCAGTTTTTGGCGTATATCTCTGAAACTGAAGCATTAAGAGCAAATCTGACAGGAAAAAAAGATGTTCATCAGTTTTAGATCTATCTGCCCTGGAATTTTCAGACGAATCAGACAATCCGTTGTTTGGTTGCCTCCCCTGAATAGGTAATTGTATGGAAATTCTGCAGTTTTTGGTTATTATCTTTAATATCATTATAGATAAACTGTAAACACCAATAATGTCCAGCAATATAAAATTTACATATAAGTCAACATGACCAAAATTGTCAATTGACCACTTGAGGAGTTATTGCCCTTTTTTCGTAAATTTTTGTAATCTTTTACAAAAAATTTCTCCACTTAATCTACTTGGTCAAATAGAATTAAAGTTAGCCACAATTTTCAATAGGGTAACTTGATTGAAAAATGTATCCGATGACCCTGCCATCCAACCAACATGGTGAACCATGGCTAAAAAAGAACATAGTTGTTTACTACAAAAGTCTACAGGAAAATGTTAAAAAAACAATTTCAAATGGTCACACTTGAAAACTAATTTTAATAATGATAAGGGGTCTTCAGTAACTATTGTAAGACTACAATGGGATGACTTGATTTTTTTCCATGGAAGGGTGCAATTTTTTCAAGGGGGGTGCTTATAATTTCTGCTTGATATTTTTCATTTTCAGAATAATTCAGTAACTTTTATAGAAACCATTATTATATTGTCTCTTTTAGCATACTTATATTGTGTGAATGCACCCCCCTGTCAACTTGTTTTGAAGGTCGTTACCAAAAAATATTTCCTGGGTGAAACAAATTTTAGAGAGGAAGGGTATTCAATTGGTTTTCGTTTGGTAGACTTTCATGACAGCATGCTTTTGCAATTTTTGTGAATTATCTTGAATCATTATAGATTGAGTTATACTGTAAATAGCAAAAATATCAAGCAAAGAAAGATCTACAAATAAGTCAACTTGACCAAACTTTTCAATTGACATCTTATTGGAGTTATTGTCCTTTAAAGTCATTTTCTGCAACATGCACAATTTATTGGTGATTTTGTAAACATTTTTCAAACATCTTCTGCATTTAATTTAACTACTGGGCCAAATTAAACCAAACATAGCCTCAATCGTTATTAGGGTATCTAATACTATTTATTATGATTTTAACCTTAGCTTTTTAATTCAAGGGTAAAAAAAAAGTAACACGATAAAAATAATGTTAATCCAAAATAAAAGCAAACTTGTATTAGACGTAAAGGTATTTTCATTTTTTTTAAATGAGACTGGGACAATTTCCCCTGTTAGTTTCCTTCACTGACGGGGTCAACATAAGAACATCGTAAAACCTTGCTGAATATTAAAGAGTATTCAGAATGAAATACACTTAAAGAATTGCTTTTTGAACACGATTTCCAAATATTACATGTTTTT